AATTAATTCTTAAAAATGACACAAAAAACTTTAAAATCAATTTAAAACTTTAAGAGGAGTTCTGTTCCCAAAATCTCCTTTCAAATCAATAATATACAGAGTGTTTTTTTTTAAACATGCTTCTTTATTTATGTAAAAACTTCAATAGATAGAAATATGCAGTTTACGGGAACCAGCTATTGACCTAGGGGCCACAATTGTTGTGAATTAAATGTAAAGTACCCATTCACCCCCTTTCTCCCTTACCTTTACCTAAAAATATTTGATCACTGATCATTTCAGTTTCATTCTTGCATGTAGATGGTATACTATACATAACTATGTCAACAGTTTTATTAAATACTATAATTAGTATTATAATACTATAATTTTTTTAACTATCCCACCACCATGTAAAATAATAATGATTAAAAATGCTAAATTGCATATATTTTTTAAGGATTTACAACATGGGTATAGCACAGACTAGAGATAAAAAGTGTTGTTCCCTATAGTGACCAATATTGAAATAAGTTATTTACTACTAACAACTTGAGACAGATTTTTACCTATTTTCAACCCCATACAACACGTTTACTGTATATTATTTATCTTAAATCATGAATAGTTTATAGATAATACAGTTTCAAAGGCTTGTACCAAACTCGGTCTAAATTGGAGGCTCAGAAGAAAATTTACAGGGAAAATAGTAAGGTTTATTATTTTTTCAAATTTTTGGACGCCATATTGGAAAAATCCAATTTCCGAGACTCCGATTTTATTAGACTTTTAGTATGTAATTTAACATACTTTTTGGAAATGAAAACCATCAAAAAACCTTTTAGAGCATTTTTTTTAAGGTTAAGGGGTGTTTTTTCATATCTTGACTAGACTAAATTCCATCATAGAAGACTGTCATTTTTCTTTTGTTCTAACTATTTCCTTTTTTTATTACTCTTGTAAACATTATTTTTCATGCTTAATGATACAATGTAAATGGCGTGTGCTGTTTTGTAGCATTGAAAAGTAAAATAAAACTAAAAAATATAATAAATAATCAGCTGTTTTAAGTATTTGTGTAAATTTCAGAGTATTCATCTGTTCAAATGTAAACAAACATTTTCTCACCAAGAATAACATTGAAACTTGGAAGGTCACTGGGGCAGAGGCCTTATTCTTTATTCTTTGTCTTGAGAGCCGAAGCCCCCTGACTGCGTACCCGGTACCTATCCTTGAGGACATACCCGGGCCCCATGATGTAGGCCGAAGCTTACGCATCAACCTTTAGCACGTCATGGGCGGATGACTTAAGGTCATCAGGCTCGCCGGCTGCCGAAGCAGACCCTTCGGAAAGAGGGTTGCCCCTCAATCCTAACCAGGGATTCCGGCTGCTTGTTTAAGCGTCACTCCACCTGGGTTCCACCAGGTACAAGCCCTAGAGGACCATAATGGAGCGCCCCGACGCATTTAGTGCAAGCAACACTCGGGACCTATCTAATCCCTGACAGGCAGAACCCGCCATCATAGCCAGAAGGAAGGGGACCGTCAGCACGCTGACGGGGGGAACCCCAACCTCCCATTTACACCACTACCCGATCGAGGCCTTACCCATTGCTGGGAAACCAGAGATAACCAGAGCGATAGATCCCCAGATACCCCTGGCGGGCTCGGACCCAGCACCCGATCTACTTCGTTTGCCCGTCAGACCCAACATCACTGCCAGGCCATCAGGGTTTCCCAAAAGGAGGCAGGTATAGAAGTGGGACCCACCCGGACGAACCTATCCACCAGAGGTGGCGACACCCTTGACTTCCGGGAAAAACCCCCCACACTCAAGATAACCATACCGTCCGTGCTCAGAGACAGGGATTGGTTTGCATAAGTGCCTACAAACCGTTACCCTCACACTGCGGAAAGTTACGTTGCCCTTGAGTGTCCCCGTGAGCTACGGGTACTTGCCCGTTTTCACCTCCAGGAAAGGCTACTTCCAAAGTCGAGGATTTGCCACACTGAATGCTGGTCGCACACAACAAGCAGGCCGAAGCCCAAAGAACCACAGACACAGGTAGGTTAGAGAATATGATGCACTTCCATCTCTCCTAGAGCTAAACACCCCTCCATCCTGGATAAAGGAATGTCACTGGGACCCAATGCCCAGTCGTCCATGTCTGTGGCCTACTTGAAAATGCCGATACCAACACCGAGCAGTTACCTCCCCTTTGGGGGCTAGGTTTTTCACCTCCCAGGACGAGGCTACTTCCAAAGTCGAGGATATGCCTCACAAAATGTCAGTCGAACACAACAGGTAGGACAGTGTCACAACCACAGTTACAGGTAGATGAGGAGAGGCGGAATTAACGGCGTCACTGAGAGCTAAACACCCCCCCACCCTGAATGGAGGGAATGTCACTGGAGGCTCCCCCTAAGGGGCTGGCGCTTACCAGTCGTCCATAACTGTGGTCTACCTGAAGTGCCGGGTCTGACACCGGGCAGTTACCTCCCCTCTGGGAGAGCTAGGGTCCGCGTGGTCGCCAGGCCACGTACCCACGTAAGCATGGGCCCCCTGCGGGTACATGGGCGGGGGGGGGGGAAGAGGCCTGATTGAATTTCAAATATGTTTTGTTTGATGGCAAATCTAAGTACACCTATCCAACGGCACCTTAAACATGATGATCGGATGCGTGGCAACTTCAAAGAATAATCACAAAATTCATGTTTTCATATTATTAATATATAGAAAATAGTGGCCAAACCAAACAAAGTCAATACGATATAACTTTTTTCAAGTTATTACCTCAACTTAATCATATGTTAAAAGTTCCTATGACATAATCTTGCTGGTTTATTCAAGTTTCTCTAGCTGTACACATTAATAACAGTTATGTTAGCATTGCCCATAGAAGGGACTGTTCATGTCAATTCCCATGATAGAAAAAGAACATATAACAATGGAAAAGTCAATTTGAAACATATTTGACAAAAAGCGTTCGTCCAAACGTAAAAGTGATTGTAATGTTTGCGTAAGAGATTTCTCCGCAGATAATTTGATATTGTATATAACACATGCTGGCTTCACTTTGTATCAAATAAAAAGGGAAATTATTTTGATTGCTACAATTTCCAGAATTGGTTTGAAAGACTTAGAATGTTCATTGGATTTTTAAATCGTTATTTAAAAATAAACAAACGCCATACTAATAATATTAATTGTTAACAATTGTTAGGAGTTAAATAAAAGCTTCCTTACGATATTCCTTTCCATAGTTCTCAGAAATTTGAAGTTTATATTGAGTTATGCAGTAAATAGATTTCTAAATCTCCTTCATACTAATGTATTAAGTGAACGACTTACAAAGCGTCTCTTGCTAACTACTTCTCTGATATTTACGACAGTTTAACGTACTTCAGTAGTTTCTTTATAGTACTACTTTCACTTTGACAACGCTCTTCCTTTAATGTATCCGGGAACACATAAATCCCATTGCTTTGTAACAACTTAAAATTGAAAACCATTGTATTAGTTTTTAATTCAATTTAGTTTTTGAACCTAGGCTAGGTTTAAATGACATAGCCTAGCATGCACGGTAGTAAAGGGAGCACCCATATATAACAGTAAAACCTAGAAGTAGTTTCCGTTTCTTAATACTAACCAAAAATATGCATGTCAAAGATGCTGATGAAAAGTAATTTCGTGATTGGTTTCGTTAACTGGGTAATGTGAACCCTAACCAGTCGCAAAATAGTTTGTAATCAGGTAATAGAATATGTAAAGTCAATCGCACCTTTAGGAGGATTACCACCACATAAACTTGCACTAGGCTAATAGTAGTTTTTTAATGTTGATCAGAAACAAACCTAGGGTTAATTTTTGGTCAATAGGATGCCTTTACTTTACAAAAGGAGCATAAACTTAGAAATAATAACTGGGTCTGGGTGCTAATTTAGCGGTTTTGACCAAGAACTAAGCTTATCTTAACACACCTTTATTTGCCTTTTCATATTTGACGAAGATAATTTCCAATAAGCCTTTCATGCTAATAAGCCTTTTTTATCATAACTAAGCAAAAGACCAAAGCTACCTTAGTAAACCAATATTTATTCACAAACATGTTTGCTGCCTTTAACAGAGTTAAACCTCTGGAGTAATTCAAATCATTTATTAAAAATAACAGCAAAGCAAACACAGACAAACAGCAAACTGTTTTTTACACAAAATATTTGTTGTTCTGGGATATCTATCCTGACACATTGATAATTTGATTCTGAGTTCGTTTAAATATTTCAATAATTTGTTTTATATTTGAGCTTTTAGGGACTTATGTCCCTACAAGCCACTAGTTATATATTAAAATTGGTTTAAATACCCAATTTAATACGTAATCCAATAGTCGCAATTAATGTCACGAAACTAGTTTTGACTTCATGAAGAAGTCATCTTCTTTTCGCCTGAAGATGACTTCTTTAATTGAAATTAAATTATAAAGAATATTATTTGACTGATCTTTTGATATTGACATTTTCCACATTTTATGATTTTATAGCATAATATTCATAGCTTTTGAAGGTATCAGAATTTCCTGTGCTCTTGATGTACTTATTTATATTTGGGAGTGGGGTCTTGCTTTGGAGGACCTAGCCGGTGAAGTTTCTGTGATGTAGCTTCTAAAGTTGACTCAAGGTTTGGTACTAGTAGTGGTTTTGGATTTCTGGAATCTATAAAGTTCCCACGACTGCTATTGAATTAAATTTGATACTAGGCAGAGCCCCACATGGTAAGAAGGTTTGCTACTACAGAAGGTCACATAGTATTTTGGAGGCATTGTGCTCACCACCGCTAGAGAGCCAAGTGGCATTCACCTATTCGGCACGCTTGACACCCCTGAGGTTTGGCTGAAACAGAAGCGGAAGGAATAGAGATAGGTAGAAGAGCTCTTCAGTATGGAAGCGAAGAAGAAAGAAGGTCCAGCAAAAGAAGGAATATGATGGTAAGGAAAGAAGATAAGGATGAATCCGTGGAATGGTTAGGGCGCCTCGGAGTCGCCAACCCACAAGAGGTCTCCCGTGTGGTTGACACAAGTGCGTCTGAGGCCTGAGGGTTAAAGTTATATTACTTTTAGTTACATTAAAACTACACTGACAAAAGAGTGTTTGGAGAGTCATCGTCGTCAAGCCAGCAACCCTCCAAAGGACAATTTAAACAACTCAGCAAGAGTTCAGTACCAATTAAAACATCTTTGTTTTACTAGGATGTAATGTCTCATCGACTCTAAGTAACTCTAAAAGCCAGAATTAAGGTACTCCCATTTATATTTTTTAGTTTATTTATTCTTTCTCCGTTGAAACTTTGTAAATTAAACACCCATACAAATCTAAAGAAATGTTTTGAATGAAACATGAATGAATATTTGAACACAAATGAACATTTGTGATGATTTTAAAAGTACTTGATGAATCTGATTGGCTATTGTTTCAATTTAGAGTGTATGTTAATATAATATTACATTAGATCATCTAATATTAGTTTCTTATGGCAACACAACTTGTAAGTTGTTGTAATAATATGTATATTATCACACCATGCTCATACGATGAAATTTTAATTGTTTAGCGCTATTTAAGGATAACTCAACGATTTTGATAACAATCCTCAGTTCATGGGACTGTAAGACGAATTCCTTAGAATGGGTAAATCGAATGAATCTGTGGTAGCTATTGCGATGAGGGTGACCAAGAGTACTATTGTAATAAATATATAATTAGAAACTAGATCTTTACCTGAAAACAATGGTGCAAAAATTTTTCTTCTGTCACAAAAACTAAATTGAATTAAAAACTAATACAATGGTTTTCAATTTTTTTTGTTACAAAGCAATGGGATTTATGTGTTCCTGGATACATTAAAGGAAGGGCGTTGTCAAAGTGAAAGTAGTACTATAAAGAAACTACTGAAGTACGTTAAACTGTCGTAAATATCAGAGAAGTAGTTAGCAAGAGACGCTTTGTAAGTCGTTCACTTAATAAATTAGTATGAAGGAGATTTAGAAATCTATTTACTGCATAATTCAATATAAACTTCAAATTTTTTGAGAACTATGGAAAGGAATATCATAAGGAAGCTTTTATTTAACTCCTAACAATTGTTAACAATTAATATTACTACTTGGCGTTTGTTTATTTTTAAATAACGATTTAAAAATCCAATGAACATTCTAAGTCTTTCAAACCAATTCTGGAAATTGTAGCAATCAAAATAATTTCCCTTTTCATTTGATACAAAGTGAAGCCAACATGTGTTACATACAATATCAAATTATCTGCGGAGAAATCTCTTACGCAAACATTACAATCACTTTTACGTCTGGACGAACGCTTTTTGTCAAATATGTTTCAAATTGACTTTTCCATTGTTATATGTTCTTTTTCTATCATGGGAATTGACATGAACAGTCCCTTCTATGGGCAAACTAACATAACTGTTATTAATGTGTACAGCTAGAGAAACTTGAATAAACCAGCAAGATTATGTCATAGGAACTTTTAACATATGATTAAGTTAAGGTAATAACTTGAAAAAAGTTATATCGTATTGACTTTGTTTGGTTTGGCCACTATTTTCTATATATTAATAATATGAAAACATGAATTTTGTGATTATTCTTTGAAGTTGCCACGCATCCGATCATCATGTTTAAGGTGCCGTTGGATAGGTGTACTTAGATTTGCCATCAAACAAAACATATTTGAAATTCAATCAGGCCTCTGCCCCAGTGACCTTCCAAGTTTCAAGGTTACTAGTGTACACGTTGCTCGAAATCGAGCAATTGCAAAGAAGTAAAGTAGTGGAGTAGTGTTTTAAAAGCAAATAAAAGTAATCATAATTTCCGATGAGTTTAAAAGACTCAACTCATTGATTACGTACCTAACAGTTCCATATAATCAAAATTTCTTGTAAATATTTTATCATTTTTCAAAAGGTGATCTGGTTTTTTTAAATGTTTCCCACTTATAGCCGTAATAGGTTGTCCGTGTTGATCTTCTTCAATGATAATGTAGTCTGCATGGTACCACCCATTGTCGCCAGTACGTTTACAAATTTCAGTCAATTTTTTATAGCGATAACATTTTGTTTAGATGACTAAGAACCACCTGATTTTCTGCATAACCTCTCTGATGCAATTTTATAGTTACTGTTATATCGTAAATTATATTTACCTGAAAAAATGGAGAATTGAAATGCCTGATGTCGTTCAGAGGGTTTTTTGTTTACCTTAAATGGGAATAATAATGTGAATGATACGAATCCTTCAATGAAAGTTTTATTAAGATTTCTTGGATGTAGTCACATTCTTAAAAGTCACTTGACTTGGATGAAAACATATATTTAATGATTTATGTCCTTGCCGTACCAGTTTAATTCAGACTTAGAGGGGTTTCCTTTGCCAATCATCATAAAGTTAAGTCCCATGTTTCGTACAAAATAGTAGCACTTCGGCTAACATCCTTGTTCATTGTTTGTGGGAATCTTCATATTGTAGCTGTAAGTGTTCTTCATTATATAGGTTAGTAACCATAGTAAATCTTGTTTAAATCTCTATTTATTCTACTTGGTGGCGTTCCTATGGCTTTGCTATGTTTCTATGGTTAACAAATCGGTTCTTTCAATGATTTCTCAAGAAATACAGTACTATGTCAATTAATTTTTCTTATTTGGTAAAATATATAAAATTGTCCACGTTTTCTTGATTTTTACATTGTAATGTACGAATGTAAATTTAAATAGTAAATATTTAATTTCAGCAAAATCAGTAAATGTACTCAATGCGTTTCATTGAATTGAAAAATAAATAACGACAATTAAATTATACAGCTGATCAAAATGTAAACAATTATGTTCTTCATAAGGATAACATGGGAACTTTAACAGCCACTGGGGAAGAGCCCAAGGGACGTTTTCAAAAATGTAAGGCCAGTTTGCAAATCTACACGACACGCTCTTTCCAATGAGACGTCAATGGATAAAATCGGATAAGAAATGGTGGAGGAGTTCAACCGACAAAGTTTCATGTAGCGTATTAATTATATAGATTCTTGGTGAGAAAATGTTTGTTTACATTTGAACAGATGAATACTCTGAAATTTACACAAATACTTAAAACAGCTGATTATTTATTATATTTTTTAGTTTTATTTTACTTTTCAATGCTACAAAACCAACTGGACAAATGGATCCATCTGGAAACTGATGACTTAGGACCGCGCCTAAACCTTTGTCACTAGCATCAGAGTCAACAATGATGGGTAAATTCGGATCAAAATGTACTACGGTATCCGAGGATGTAAAAATTCCTTTAAGCTGCTCGTAGATGTCATTGTCAGCAGTAGTCCAATTCCATGTCTCACCCTTTTTCAACAGGCGATGGAGGGGTGAAGCTATGCATTGCAATTTCTGGATAAACCTTTGGTAATAATTAATTGCTCCCAAAAAAGCTCTTAAATCCCGAACATCTGATGGAGCTGGCATACGTTTTATTGCTTTCAGATTTCTGAAAGCAGTTTTCTGAATCAGTTGGATGAATGCCAGTCGAGTCGATCACATGCCCCAAGTACGTAACAGAATTTTTCAAAAACTTGCATTTAGACTCTTGGATGTGAATTCCAAGTGTCTGGAAACGTTGCATGACTCGATCAAGATTTTGTAAATGCTCTACCCGGTTACGACCTGTAATTATGCAATCGTCTAAATATACAGCAACGCCATCTAAACCAGTCAAAACCTGTTCAATCTTACTTTGAAACAATCCTGGAGCGGATTTAACCCCAAAGGTTAAACGAGTGTATCTAAAGTAGCCGAATGGAGTAGCTATAACCAACAAATCTCTAGAAGACTCAGCCACCTCTAACTGTAGATATGCGCCCTTCAGGTCCAGTACAGTAAACTCATTTCCATCTTGTAATTGCATCATGATATCTTCAAAACGTGGAAGGGGATGTTGCACAGAACTAATGAATGGGTTTATAGTACATTTGAAGTCCCAACAGATTCTGACTTTCCCATTCGGTTTTATCGCTACAACAATGGGAGAGGCCCAAGAAATATTCTTCAATGTCGGATCAATTTTTTCAAGTACACCATCTTGCATAAGCCTATCTATTTCTTCTTTTACAGCAGGACGTAAAACATAAGGTATGGGTCGAGGTTTAAAGGCCTTTGGGATAGCCTCAGGAGCCAAAGTAATTACAACTTTTTCCCCTGCAAAGATTCCTAGTTTATCTGAGAAAATCTCTGGATATTTACCTAGCAGCTTTTTAACAGCCGTTGTGTCTTTTTGTCCCTTTGACTCAGTTGTTACTGTGCACACCCGAGCACCTGGTGGTAGAGCTAAATCGAAAGACAGAACCCAGCTTAGACCAAAAAGTGGAACATCATCGTAATCAACTACTATGATCGGCAGTGATAGTCTTCGAACAAACGCTTTAACATTAACAATGGCCTTACCCAACGTTTCTATATGTACTCTGGTGTAGGCTACCAAATTTGAAGTGCTCTCAAGGGTTCCAATATGTTGCCAAACTTCTTTGCAAATAACCGATTCGGCTGCACCAGGATCATATAACATATCCACTGCAATGCCATTGATCATTACATTTAACATTACCTTGTATCCACTGTTTATAGCTCTTACAGATACTGGCTCACTGTAGTTACCCCTTCACTCACTGTATTATTTAATACATAATAAATTATCCTCGGCATTTTATGGACTTAAAAGAATAAAAAGAATATCTGGGAAAAATACCGCACTTGTGGTTTACCACGCTCTAATTTCTTCCCACATAAGTTTTGGTATTATAGCCTGGGGAGCGGCACCGCAAATCTACCTAGACCAAATACTAACTGTCCAGAAGAAGTCTATAAGAGCAATTAATGATCTGCAGGATGAAGAACACTGCAAACCATACTTTATCAACAATAAAATTTTAACAGTCATATCCATCTATATCTACGAAACCATCATCCATTCCCTAACATCAAACAGCAAAGAGAAGACATACATGACCACAACACAAGAAGAAAACAACAATTTGACTTACCATACAACAGACTTAAAAAATCTCAAAACCATCCAAACTACATAGGACTAAAATTGTTCAACCACCTCCCAGATCAATTAAAAAATATTCAAAATACAAACGGCTTTAAAAATAAACTTAAAGACTTCTTCTCAACAAGACCCTACTACAAGATAAAAGAGTTCTTTGAAGCTATTAATGCCTAAAGATGAAGAATAAACCCGGACGAGCCCCCTTTCTTAAGGACAGCGGAGGCGAACACCCACAAGTAACAAGTAAGTAAGTAACAAGTAAGTTACTCCCTGATGAAATAGATCTTGCATCTCCAGTATTTCCTGATCTCACATTGTTCGTGCGGCGACGGTATTCAAATTTTTGCTTTACCAAACTTAAAGCAGACTTTAGAAATGTGGTTATTTCCTTTACATAAATGACATGTTTTTCCATCAGCCGGGCATCTTTTTTCAGGTTTGTGTTGATTTCCACCACATCGGAAACAATGTAGTCCTCTGACTAACCTCATTACAGACTGGTTTTGTCATCTATAACCATCAAAAGTTTGTTGTCTTCCATCTGAAGGCTGTCTCTGTTTTACATGTAATATGTGCTCATGAGCACGGGTCGTTGCTATACTTTTCTGAGTTTTGTCAGCTCTTTCAAGAACAAGTGCTGAGGTTTCGACTTCTTTTAACGTGCATTTAACGTCAGTGTGCTGTCTAAGGAGTTCTTTCTGCCAGTCCTTGTCATTGATTCCTAATAGAAGTTGGTCACGCAGACGTTCGTCTAGTGATATCCCAAATTGACATCGACCTGCAAGTGCTCTTAGTGCCGTCACATATTGGCTTACTGTCTCACCTTCCTGCCTGTAACGCCTTCCAAATGCAACTCGCTCACCAAGTGTACAATATGCTTCGCTGTAGTAAGAAAACAGGACCTGTGTAATCTCCTCATATGATTGGGCGTTAACTAGTTCAGGTCTAAAATGGTCTGCTAGCATTTTAAAAGGTTTTGCTCCAATTTTTGATAGCAATAGGTTTTTGCACAACTCTTTGGACGTGATGTTGTGTAATGACAGCTCAATCTCAAATCTTTGGAAGTAGTACTCCCATTCTTCCTCGTCATGATTAAAGTTATTGAAATTAAAACTTTGTACAGAATTGCAGCTACTTTCTGTATTGTCTACAGATTCAAAATTGTCACTTTGCTATTCCGTGGCATGTCCGCAGCGCCACAATGTAAAATCACTAATAAAATATAAAAGCTCAGGAACATTAAAAAACCATTGTATTTAGCTCAGCATCATAAAAACAATACAAACAAAAATAGTAAACACACTTATTTTAAAGTCAGCTGATAAATAAAATTTACAAAGAGTAATCCCGACAGAGACCAGCCGACAAGAGGCATTATATTGGAATAAAAAAAAAATCTTAGTTAATTCAGTTTTCGTGACAGCAGAAAAAATTTTGCAATTTGTTTTAAAGTAAAAATCTAGTTTCTAATGATATACAGGGTTAGGCAAAAGTCTGGAACCCCCCCCCCCCCCCCCCCCAGTTAACTTTTGAACGTGTTGCAGTGGGAAACCCAAACTCATATTAAAGGGGTTATATATTTTTTGGCCTATTAGATACAACATGTAACATACCATATATTCTCTGTAAAATGGTGTAACCGTTGAGAGGAAATAAATAAATAAATAAATAAATCAAGAAAAATGAATGGCGCAAGCCAGAGGTCAATATCGCATCCCTTATCAAAATGGCAGCCATTTTAATTTAAGATGAACAAGCAAGATAAAGTCTGGACACCCCCAGTTAACTTTAAAAATTTAATATTTTGATACTGGCCAAAAGGTGAATTCTCTTTTTTTTATAAGGGCATGATAAGTTTAGTTTTCCTGCTATAACCCGTTAAAAAGTTAATAAGGGATATTTCAAAATCATTGCCATTTTGATTAGGGCTGCGATATTGACCTCTAGTTTGCGCCATTTACTTTGTCTTGAGAAACCCAATGAGGGGTCACATGATAGGTGTTTACATTTAAAAATTTAGGGCTGCCCCCAAAATACCCCATTTTTGGGGCCGGGTAAAAGTTCCAACTTTAATGAAAAAGTGATTTTTTTTGTTAGAAACATGTGTCGAATTAGTTTTTCACACTGCCACACGTTATAAAGGTAACTGGGGGTGTCCAGACTTTATCTTGCTTGCTCATCTTAAATTAAAATGGCTGCCATTTTGATAAGGGATGCGATATTGACCCCTGGCCTGCGCCATTAAATTTTTCTTGATAAACTCCTTAAAATGAGGGGTCATATGATAGGTGTTTACTTTTGAAAATTTGGAACTGCCCCCAAAATACCCCATTTTGGAGGCTGGGGCAAAGTTGTAAGTTTGATGAAAAAGCGCAATTTCTAATGTTGTAAATATGTGCCGAGTTTGGTTTTCCTACTGCTACGCGTTACGAAATTAACTGGGGGGTTCCAGACTTTAGCCTAACCCTGTATAAATTACTATAGTGGGCCTACTCTTGGTCACCCTTGTCTTTCCGAATCTATCATTACTGTTCAACGAAACTTTCGTAGAGGGTTTAATGTCAAGCGTAACTGTTCGATTCCTGATCGCAACACGATAATTCGTTGGGTGAACTAATTTCGTACAACAGGATCAGTTATGAAAAATAAATCGACTGGCTGTCCTCGTACCGCGCGTACTCCGCAAAATGTTGACACTGTCAGAGCCTCGGTTCTTCAAAGCCCTCACTGTTCGACTAGGCGGCTCCAACATTAGGTATGTCACGTCGATCGCTCCAGCGTATCTTTACATGCGAGTTGAAATTCAATCCTTATGAGATTATGATAGTTCAGAAGCTCCACGAAGGGATTTTGATCGAAGAAGAATTTTTTGTGAGAATATGCATAATATTGATGTAGATGAAAACGCTATTAAGCATACTATAAAAAAAAAACTAAACACATATTAACAACAGATTCTAACTTTATTTTATTTCATGAACTGAACAGAATTGTGTATACATAACCTAAACCATAACATTGGCAGATGACTGATTTAAATCATTTAAATAATCAGCTGATATAAGCAAGTAAAGACGATTTGAAAACAAGTAATTTTACCAACAAGGATGAGGCTCGCTTCCATTTGAATGGCTCTGTAAACAAGCAGAACTGCCTCTATTGGGCAGCCAACAACCCACAAGAAATGAATCAAAAACCAATGCACATTCCTGAAGTTACTGTGTGGTGCGGGGTCTCAAAAGTTGGTATCGTCGGACCTTATTTTTTTGAAGAGGGTGATGCAACTGTCACAGTTAATTTAACGCTACGCACATTTATTTTTTCAGCCACAACTTGAAGCTTTGGGGATCGATATGGCAAACATATGGTTTCAACAGGATGGAGCCACAGCCCACGCGAGTAATGCCTATATGGAAGTCAAAGAGAAATATTTCCCAATCACGTGATTTCACGTTTTGACGATCTGCAATTCTTGTGGGGTCACCTCATATTCAAAGTGTACAGTCGAAAACCTCGTTCCATCGAAGAGTTAAAGGCTGATATGCGTGAAGAAATTGCTGCTGTACCATAGGACACATTTACAACGGTTATAGAGAACTTTGAAGAGAGCGTTTTAATGTGTATTAATGCAGAAAGACTCTCCGATGTCATTAAAAAAATTAACTGAGGGGATTTGGAATTCACAGTTACCAATTCTTAAATTGAGTTAGTTGCTGATTGTTTTGGTATAAAAAACAATTCTGTATGGTTATAATTAACAAACTTAATAAAAATAACATTTTAAACTTTATGCGTTTGCTTTTTGCATTGAATAAGGTTACAATGGCATCCAGTAATGACATTAAATACAAAAAAGAAATTCAATCGTAAATTCAAATTCAATAATATTGTTTGAATTGTAGCTTTCAATAATGCAAAATTATAATGCATTTGTATTGATTCAGGTAAATAAATATATCATAATAAATGTCGGGAGGCAGTACAATCTGGGATCAGTCAATAATAACTAATCATATTGGTCTCATGCGGCTCACTAACAGTTCATTGATTAAAGCAGGCCATTATCCTCTCTCTATTATTATATTATCTTGTCGGATGATATTAATTTCATAACATAATGTTAGTTTACTCTAATTTAAATTTGTTAGCACTTGTACTTAAATCACACTTAAAAAAACAATCGATTGGAGTTTTTGAAAGCACGACCATTTTAGTTATCCCGAAAATAAAAACACATGCTTCTATAATCAGCCATACGCCAAAAAATATTTAAAAGAGGGGCGATCCGATTTTAAACGTAACATGTTATTGTTATCTCTATCCTGAGCATGTTAGTCTGACTAGCGAGAGAAGGACACTGTTTGTAGAGTAGATATTGCTATAGCCTTGTCTTGTATAGTCATCGGTCAAAGTCAACATTCGGGCAAGGATTAATTAACCATGACCTATTGTGCTTTTGTCATTTAGGTTAAAATGTGCCCTCAAATATCCTGTAAACCGTTTACCTATGTACTTTTTTAGGATGCTAAAGTAATGTAGATCTATGTGATATTTTTAAGCTTTTATTCCTAGCAGAGAGGTACACTTATGTCAATTTTACTTCAAGCACTTATATTATATCATGGAAAGACAACTATCAACGGGAAACACCATCTTAATACCAGTGACCAATAAAAATATGAATTCCATTTTTTTACATTCCATTTTCCTATATGTCTATGGCAGCCGAATTCGAGGTCTTCAACACAAGCACTAATTTTGTATGGAACTTTATATTGATTTACAATATTTAAGTTTTACTCTGAGGCTTACTTTCTTAAACATATTATCCTTGGGAACACCCCAAATTTAATAGGAATATGTATGATATGAATAAGAGTATAACATCGTATGAGTCTTGCGTTCAATATGTTGACTTTAAAATATCATATAACAACACATTTATTTGAGGCCTTCAATGAAAGGATATATTTAAGTAGGTACGAGACTCGTATCTTAATTCTTACCAACAAATCTGTATTTCAAAACCTGAAACATGCAACTCGCATGAATTCATTCACTTACTATGAACAAAAACTAACCGTGTAATTTATGTATAATCACAACTATAAAATAAATTTCAAATTTAAAAAGAAAGGGTTTCTTATAAAGAAAAAAAAAACATTAGGTAAATTTAAATATTAAAAACATTTCATTTACATTAAATTGTAAAAGATAGTACAGCATACTTTCGCGGCTTATTGACTGTAAATGATTAGAACTATCGATTACTAGTATTTATAGTCAATGGTAGAAAAATGATAATGTTTTCCCCAAACGTCAACGTATATATACTAGCTGTCTCTTAGCCACGTTTGGCTATAGCGAAAATCTATCATAATTTATGCCATAACATTACTGACAGCAAAATATAATTCATGCTCGGGTCACAAAAAAGTTTTACCTCTATAGTCGAAGGTCACTTGAATATAATTTGTAAGTGATTCAAAGTCGGTAAAACTAGTAAAAACTTTCATTGTAAGAGTATAAGTTTGTTTTAAAATATTTACAAAAATACTTTTAGTTAATAATGCATTAGTTATTATGTTTTACTAAGAGCTAATAGTAATGTTTTTAATACTTTTTTACTTTTATATTTTGAAATTATTTTTTGACTTATTCTCAAAATTATGCTTCGTTCAACAGAAGAACCGTGAAAGTCTATCCGAAGTATTAAATAACTCAGGATCCTAGATAAAAAAAGACTCAACATATACATTGAATTTACAGTGTAAGACCATTGAAACTATTATTATTGGTTTATACCTACATCAAGTTGAAAAATAGAGGTGCAAAGGAAATTATCGTCGAAAAGGGTACAAACACCGATGCTCCAGCACAATTACAAACAGGAGCAAGCTTTGAACAAAGAGCTTAAGCAGACAAGTGGGTCTAAGTATTTAACTGATGCAGCACAATCAAAACTCGGCTGAGAAATAAATTGGGAAAGTTTTCGTTGGCTCGGAATTAGTTCAAGTAATATCTCTCTATCTTTATGTATTAATAAATCTGCAATCCGTTTATCACGAGTATCTGTAGTCCTAATGTTTAGAAATTTTCATTATTTTATACGATAATTTATTGTTATATTTCACGAGTCAGGTTAATTCAGATTCAACATAATTAAAAAAAATTCACTTCTAATAAATAGCAATTTCATCTAAACAAAGTGATTTGTAACTAATCTGTTGCTAATTTAATATGTATATGATACTGATCTTATAAGAAAAACTGCAAGTAATTGTTATTTGGTCAGTACCGTTAGCAATGCCCATGATTTAATTAATATACTTAGAAATAAAGCCTGTGTTAGGGCCTCCTGCAGTAAGTTTACTTTACGATCCACTTGACTTGAGGATATCATTTTTTTACGGTATGGGTAGACATTCATCGTCTTAATAAAACGTGTTGTCATTAGCAATTTACTGAAGGTAAGTTTTAAAATACTCTTAGAAAGATGCTTTATTCCATGCAATCAATAAAAAAAAAACACATGTATAAAAAGTCCTATTTTTTGTTTGCTGCTTATTACTATTGATCTAACAACTGCCTTTAAGTGTCACTAAACTACTAATATCTTTAAGCCTGTGATTCCATGGAAATAGTACTTAAAATAAATATATTATATGCATTTTTAGTTGAATGCAATTTTTATTCAGTTAAAGTTTAATACACTTTATTAGTTGAATGCAATTTTTATTCGAATTAGGCAGAGAACTACTCGTCTACGGTGAGAACCAACAGAAATCACTTGTAGATGAGTGGGAACCAAAATTGTCAAATGATCAGAGGGCAGTCTTAAATCACGTTCGTTCGTTATTACAAGGAGATCGCCGGACAAACAGACTAATCTTCCTAGACGGACCAGGTGGCTACGGGAAAACGTTGTTAATTAGCGTGCTTCTCGCCTACGTTCGAAGCCAAAGTCACGTTGCTATTGCTGTTGCTAGCTCTGGTATCGCCTCTTAGTCCGGTAATTGAAGAGCAATATATAGCGGAGGTTCAACAAAATTGATTCAAAAGGTTTTTCAACGGATTTCATTAGTTTTATACCTCCACACAACACAAAAAAAAAGTCTACCAAAATCTGACTTGGGGAAGTACCTGAATTATGGTATCTATAATATTAAAACGAAACAGTGTTTTTTATTTCACGATTCTGAATCAACCACTCGACGGATTTTCATGATTTTTGTGTTGAAAGAAAGATAATTTTGAGAACTAGGGAATGGCGAAGCCATAAATTTAGTTTAGGGTCCCAGTTTTTTAGAAATTAAGTTTTAATTTTTAAAAAGTCTAGCAGCCGACGCTAAGATTCTAAACTAGCTTTTGGCATAAAATAATTTGCTTAACATAACAGCTGTAAACATTCAGGTTTTGTGTAACAAATTCAGCATTTGAATAAAAATGAAAAGACATACTTAGGGTTGACGTATTTATACTATGTGTAATGCTAATCATTGATACGTTCCATTCTTCTGTAAGAGGATGACAGATTAATTAAATTATACATAGTAAAATACTAGGATGTTCAAATGATTTTTTAAAGCAATCTTTGTAATCTTCGATTTGTTTTAGAGCAATATAATTTGTTTTAACTAACAGCTGATTAAATATAAACTATGGAACTATGAGGTTATTTTATTTACTCTTATTTTGTCATTGATTATAGGAAATAAGTAAGATTAGTAGAGATAATTAGACCACAGTTTAAAATAGTTTAGACCAAAATTAATTAAACCACAGTACAAATCGAGGCTCTGTACACGAGTCTTAATAAAAAAGGATAAATGCAAATTATTTTACTACTCCACTTTTCAATGAAAGAATAGAAAAATAACAATGTTTACATGTTTTAATTCTTCATGGTAGCTTTTTGTTTACAATTAATGTTTGTCTGCTTTAACTTTGTTTGGATTATTCCCGGAAATATTAATGTCATTAAAAGAAGATCAAGAATAATCAGGAATCGTGATTTTAAATTACCACCACAACCTCAGCCGGGTTTTATACAAAGATAAACAGATGGATGACATAGATTGAACACAACGTCAACATTGACCTAGGATACTGCAATTAGACAAATCATCCTTTTATGAAATTATGTTCAGTAGTGGTAACGTTTGGGGGTGCCTATATCAGCGCCCCCAAACGTGAAAATATCACTTTTATTTCAACTATGAATATATTGTAGTGTAAATTAACTAATATGGGAAATTACGATGTACATTTATTCAATGAGGGTGGGTAATTATCAAGGATAGAACTGATAACGGTATGGATAATAAACATTGACAATTACGTCATTAGCTTTACTAGCGTGTTTATTTTGTATATTCCTGCTACATGTGACCAGTTCTTTTTTTTCAAATATTTTGTGTTATTTGAACCAAACAGCTGTTTCAAAACAAACTGTTATTGTTTTTACTTTTCTTTGTTTACACTTATTTATTTAGCAATTAATGCAGTGAAATTGATATAAAGGATAGGTGTGACGATTAGTTTTGATGTTAGGACACCAAAGTTAAATTATGTGTACTGTGAATTTTATTGGATATTATCGTTTTATTTTAGGTCGTTTCTATTCAGACCTACTGGAAATTGTGTATAGTAGTTGTATTGTGGTGATAATAGTTATGGACGAGGCAGGTATGCTATGGAAGGTGGTATCGTTGACTAGGTCTATACACTTCTCAATTGACTATTACCATAGACTAAGCAACGTTTTATCTATGCTATTACTCTCTCTACTGTAGGCTACTTATAATCAGTGTGCGAATCGGCTGCAAATCTCACTTCAACGCTTTTCACATCGTAAAAATTGCGGAATTTTGCTGTTTTATTGTAAAATTATCGGATTTAAAATGCATATCGTATAGGCCTATGGTGGAATAAAAACATATTTGGTCACACAACATTTGTTTACAAGGGATGATTTTTCACATTAAAACTGCAAGAAACTTTGTCTCTATATGTGTAAACTAGCTGATCTGAATTGTACACGGTTTTAACTGACTACTGAATTCCCGTACGTAGGACGGGCTAACACCTCGTTTAAATTAAAATAATAACTAGTGTACCTGTTGCTCGAATTCGAGCAATTGCGAAGCATTACAGGCGGCTCAAAGATTATGGAAATACTCACGATCTACTCAACAGTTAGATATAATCAAAATCTTTTGTAAATATCTTTTTTTTTTCAAAAGGCTGATCTTGTTTTTTAGTGTTTCTACAAAATTTTCCCTCTCATAGCAGCATTAGGTTGTCTATAATAACGATTATAAATGAAAAAAAAAAAACATTACTGTATTTCTTTTCTTCTACTTAGTTGTGTTCTATGACTTTTTCTATGTTTCCATTGTTTGCAAATCGGTTATTTCAATGATTGCTCAAGAATTGTAGCATATTGTTAATTCAGTTTTATTTTTAACCTATATCAAATTGTCCAGGATTTCTCGCTTTTTTCCATTGTAATAATTTCACCAACCCAAGTTTCGTCTACAGATGCAATACGCCAAAGAATATCACCTACGTACAATCTCCAAGAAGTGGTACAAAAAGGCAGAAACCAAGCCATACAATAGATATAAGTTAACTCCATAAGAAATAATTTTAAGAGTTACTATGATATTAGGATTTTCCACTGATTTGGTAATAGAACATTATATTGCAAAACATGACATGATGCAGAATAAAATCGAGTTTGAAATCAGAAAAACCCATTGCAAATTCTGTACTTCATATTGAAAAATTCAATAAATCACAATTTAAATATTAACAGCTGTTTCATTAAAAAGTAGTGTAGAATTATGCATATGGTAAACAAATTTGAAGAGGCAACTTTAAAGGCTTCTGGGGCAGAGCCCCAAGGGAATTTACCTCGTTCCTCTTTTGATGGCTCATCTATAGACCAAGACCTTTCTTTAGAGACCCCTACCAAGTTTCTACGCCCAGCCGTTCTCTCAAATTAGCTGGGACAAAAACCCAGTTTTTTCCTCCCTAAGAATAACATGGGATGGGAATTCAGGCCACTGGGGCAGAGCCCCAAGGGAATTTACCACGTTTCTCTTTTGATGGCTCATCTACAGACAAAGACCTTTCTTTAGACACCTCTACCGAGTTTCTACACCCAGCCGTTCTCTCAAAATAGCTATGACAAAGAAAAACAGTTTCAAATTAATATATAGATTGCTCCGTGAAAAAAAAAAACAGATAAAAATATAATTACTATTTTATATATATTATATTGTATATATAGTGTAGTATATCGTTTTTAATGTTTTGAAGAGGGGGAAACTAAATATGCAACTTAAAATGTGATTTGACGTCATTTGACACCACAATATGGCTGCCAAAATATTTTCCAAGGAGGAAAAACTAAAATAAAACTCACATTTAGATATAGGGTGCAGTATATCGAATTCAATGTTCACAAGGGTGGCAAAACCAAATATACAACTTAAAATATGATTGTATCCAATTTAAAAGCCTAAGATGGAAGTCACAAAAATACGCTCCATGGAGGAGTTGAAAAACTTACCTTAAGAAATAAATAACTTCTTGATCAGCATTGTATGTGTTATTAAATTTACGGAAAGTAAATAAAAGAAACGTCTTTAGAAATAGCCCATCTTTATAACTAGGTATCAGTTTTCAATCTTAACTTTTATAAAATACCACTAAGCTATTATGCAACTTAAAATGAGATTTTACATTATGAGACGGTAAGACGGGGTACCGGGGCACATGGATTATTTTTACATAGGATACTGTATTAAAATAATGGTATAATAGTGTAGAAATAATTTGATTTCAATGAACGCACTTAATATAGATACAGCCGAAAATTCATACTGCTAATAAAATACTGTTAAAATTGACTGAAGTGTTAAAAAATCATTTGTCACCTTTTTAGAAATTGTTACTCTGAAATAAATTACTCTGTTACTTCAATATTTTCACTCAAATCAAGGGTTTGCTCATTTGTGCACGTGACCCCTTTACACTCAAGGAAAAGAATTCAATGAATTCCTTGAGATCATGGTATTTGATCATAACAAATAGTTTTCCTATTCCATAGGGTCTCCATTTGGTATTACATCCGCAAAGAGCGTGTATAAAGAGTAGGAGCGTCTAAGGTTAGGACCAAGTATCCTTTTCCCTTTTCAAACGTGTGTTCATTGAATTCAATTTATTAATATTTTAAAATACCATTATTATTCCCTATGTAAAAATAATCCATGTGCCCCAATATCACATCTTACGCCACCGTCTAATGATGTAAAATCTTATTTTAAGTTGCATATTTAGTTTACTGGCATTTGTAAAAGTTAAAATCGCCTTACTACAAAATATTTCTAAAGGTAAGTTTTTTTTTTATTTTCCTCAATGGAGCGTATTTTGGTGATTTTCATCTTATGACCTTACATTTTATACAATCATATTTAAAGTTGCATTTTTGGTTTGGCCACCCTTGTAATCATTGAATTCGATATACTACACCCTATATCTAAAAGTAAGTTTTATTTTAGTCTTTTTTTTCTCCATGAATCTATTTTGGCGGCCATATTGTGGCGTCAAATTACGTCAAATCACATTTTAAGTTGCATTTTTAGTTTCCCCACCCTTCAAAACATTAAAAACGATATACTACACCCTATATATAGCAATTATATTTTTATCTGTTTTTTTTCACGGAGCCATCATTATTTTAATTTAAATGTCATAATTCAGGTACTTCCCCAAGTCAGATTTTGGTAGACTTTTTTTTGTGTTGTGTGGAGGTATAAAACTAATGAAATCCATTGAAAAACCTTTTGAATCAATTTTGTTGAACCTCCACTACTCAATGACTGGACTATCTGGCAACATGCCAGGTGGTACGACAGCTCATAGCATGTTCAGACTGCCACTTGACCTCGGCGACGGTACAGGCTATTGGAACTTGACCAACGGGTCTCAGCGGGCAGAACTAATCAGAGCCGCACAGCTCATAGTTTTTGATGAGGCACCGATGGCTCATCGCTACATTTTTGAGATTCTCGACAGATCTCTGCGGGATCTCATGAATTCACGTGAACCATTCGGTAACAAGATCTTTATCTGCTCGGGAGATTTCCGTCAGATCGCGCCCGTTGTTGCCAGAGCTCGAACGCCCGCTGATATCGCTTGTGTATCGCTCCGTGCGTCTCATCTTTGGTCAAGTTTCAAGGTGTTCTCTCTTTCTACACCTCACAGGACTAGTAATTCCAATGCATACTCCAAATTCTTGCTTGAAGTAGGCAATGGAACTATCAATACTGTTGTGTTTGGCGAGGGAAAGGACAGTTGCAGCTTGATACCACTGTCTGGCATTAGATATGTGACTTCCCTGTCTGATCTCATCGCTTATGTTTTCCCCGATTGTGACCTGAATGACCCTGAACTTACGGCTAGACGAGCTATTCTTTCAACAATGAACGTTAACGTACGAAATATTAATGACATTGTTCTTAATACTTCAAGCGGGGTCGTACATGTGTTGAGAAGCGCCGATACTGTGGACAAGGAAAATGATGACGGCATGGACGTCGATGTACACTTGCTGAACCAGGCCACCGGCAAGGGTGTGCCAGACCATGTCCTGCGAATCAAGATCGGCTCCGTTTGCCTCATTATGAGGAATTTGAATATCGACAACGGACTTGTGAACGGTACAAAAGTAATTGTTACGGCGATTAGTCCTCGCTTGATTACTGCTAGACTTCCCGGCAAAACTGATCCAATTTGTATCCCTAGGATTCAATTTGTGTTTCCGTTTGTCGAAGGGTCGCCACTTCGCATCCGCCGTGTTCAATTCCCTCTAATGTTGGCTTATTGTATGACTGGTCACAAAAGCCAAGGCCAGACGATCGATCGCGTTGGAGTCGATCTTCGGAGCGACTGTTTCACACACGGTCAATTATACGTCCTCCTTAGCAGGGTCAGACATCCTGACGACATCGTTGTTCTTGTCCCACCTGATAGAGTCCGCGAAGGAACAGCCTATGCGAAGAATATCGTATTTGACGAACTCCTTCTTTAGAACCGATTTTGACGTTGCAGTAGGCTAGGGGATCTGCTTTACCAAAACTCCCCGTCGTGATTTGACATCTATGGCAGTACGATAGGGGGTCTGCCTAAAAAAAGTCCCCGATATTTTGTGTGTTCTGTGTGTTCTGTGTGTTTTTGTGTGTTGGTGTGTGTTTGTGTGTGTTTGTGTGTGTTTTTGTGTGTTTTTGTGTGTTTTTGTGTGTTTTGTGTGTTTTTGTGTGTTTCGTGTTACTGTTTGTGGTTCCGGCGTTTCCTGGCCTCCCCGTGGCGGAACTGGATATGCCATAAAGTTTATGGCTAACCGACAGGGAAACAAACATTACTTGATCTATTTTCATAAATATATACATGAATATCTACCATAATCTATTTAATTAATATAATACTTTACTATTATCAATTTATTCACTTATCAATCTACTTATCTTATACAAAATTTTACTGACTTGTACATGTGTTAATAATTGTAATTATGGTTCCGACGTTTCCTGGCCTCCTCGTGGCGGAACTGGATATGCCTTGCAGTTTATGGCTAACCGACAGGGAAACAAACATTACTTGATCTATTTTCATTAATAAATTTATAAATATTTATAACCATCTTTACTTGAAATACTATAACTGTTAATTTAAATCATTGTAAATTAATATGGTTCCTACGTTTCCTGGCCTCCCCGTGGCGGAACTGGATATGCCATACAGTTTGTGGCTAACTGACAGGGAAACAAAAAAACTTCATCTATTTTCATAAACATATACATGAATATTTACTATGAACTATTTACTTAATATAATACTTTACTATTCTCAACTTATCAATCTACTCTAATATATTTGTGAAATGGTTATTACTTCAATATCGATTTTCACTATAACAACCCCACAAAGAATTTAGAAATGCTTAGAGTGCTTTCTAGACCACTTCTAGGTGTGCTACGGACTTGAAATTTCCCCGGTTTCTTGGTGATGGCCCCTTACCCCTTCCTAAATTACGACTAACAGCTAGGGGGCCTGGGGGCGGAGCCCCCAGCGAGCCAAAGGCGAGTCTAATTAACTATACAGCCCGATGTGTAACTCGCTCACTCAATGGGGATACAAATTCTAGACCACTTCTAGAATAGCTAGAGATCTGAAATTTGGCACACTTGTAGGTCTTGGGCCCAAACCCACAGGAAAATCCTAAAAAGTCGCATTTTTTTACATTAACCCCCCCATAATCTCAAATTTCCCCCCCTTGTTATTCTTATGGGAAATAACATTGAAAATTCCCGACTTTGGTAAGCTCATCTGAAAAACTAAGAAACGTGCTAGAGACTTCAAATTTGCGTAGTATTGTAGTAAGAGACCTTAAATTACCGGTGGAATATGCAAAAGTCCCATTTTCAAATTTTAACCCACCCAAAAATCCAAAATAGCGGACCTCTGAAAACGAAAAAAACACATTTTTTTCAACCGGATGTAGCTCGAAAACGGTAAGAGATAGAAAAGATTGGAAAGTATATTCAGGAACAGGAATTAAATTTTATACAACACCCTCTTAGGCATTTTCCAAAAATCGGACTCCTTCAGCTTCAAAAAACGGCCTACTTTCAAAATTTTGTAAATTTCAAAACTATACAGCCCGATGTGTAACTCACTCACTCAATGGGGATACAAATTCTAGACCACTTCTAGAATAGCTAGAGATCTGAAATTTGGCACACTTGTAGGTCTTGGGCCCAAACCCACAGGAAAATCCTAAAAAGTCGAATTTTTTTACATTAACCCCCCCATAATCTCAAATTTCCCCCCCTTGTTATTCTTATGGGAAATAACATTAAAAATTCCCGACTTTGGTAAGCTCATCTGAAAAACTAAGAAACGTGCTAGAGACTTCAAATTTGCGTAGTATTGTAGTAAGAGACCTTAAATTACCGGTGGAATATGCAAAAGTCCCATTTTCAAATTTTAACCCACCCAAAAATCCAAAATGGCGGACCTCTGAAAACGAAAAAAACACATTTTTTTCAACCGGATGTAGCTCGAAAACGGTAAGAGATAGAAAAGATTGGAAAGTATTTTCAGGAACAGGAATTAAATTTTATACAACACCCTCTTTGGCATTTTCCAAAAATCGGACTCCTTCAGCTTCAAAAAACGGCCTACTTTCAAAATTTTGTAAATTTCATTCAAATTTTTTACGGTTTTCGCTATTTTTTCATATTTAAATAATTTATTTTTGCAGATATTATTAATGCTCTGTATTCTTCTTACTTTACTTTATATTTTACTTATTTAATTTTTTTTTGTATCTTTACTCCTTAACCCCCAAAACTTAATTTTAATCTCAAAATTTAAAGGTTTTTTACAACTTTTACAAGCCCCATGTTATTCTTATGGAGAATAACATTGAAAAATGCCGACTTTAGTATGCTCATCTGAACCACTTATAAACGTGCTAGAGACTTGAAACTTGGTAGTATTGTAGTATGGGATCTTACATTACCGGTGAAGTTCCCAAAAGTCCCATTTTCTATTTTTAACCCCCCTAAAAATCCAAAATGGCGGACCTCTGAAAACAAAAAAACACGTTTTTTTCAACCGGATGTAGCTTGAAAACGGTAAGAGATAGAAAAGATTTGAAAGGATATTAGCGAAAGGAAATTAAATTTTCTACAAAACCCTTACAGCGTTTTCAAAAAATCGCACTTCTTCGGCTTCAAAAAACGCCATACTTTTAAAATTTGATAAATTTCATTCAAATTTTTACCGGTTTTCGCTATTTTTTCATACTTAATTAATTATTTTTCGCGGATATTATTATTGCTTTGTATTTTCCTTGGTTTACTTTAAATTCTACTCCTTTAATGTTTTTTCGTATCGTTACTCCTTGACCCCCAAAACTTAGGTTTAATGTCAAAATTTGAAGGTTTTTCACCACTTTTACGAGCCCCATGTTATTCTTATGGAGAATAAGATTGAAATATAATGACTTTGGTATGGTCATATGAATCGTTTAGAAACGTGCTAGAGACTTGGAATTTGGTACTATTGTAGTAAGGGATCATAAGATTATGGTGAATTTGCAAAAGTCCCATTTTCAAATTTTAACCACCCTAAAAATCCAAACTGGCGGACCTCTAAAAACGACAAAACACATTTTTTTCAATCGCCAATAGCTCAAAAACGGTAAGATATAGAAAACATTTGAAAGGATTTTCATGGTTTACTTAAGGTTTTATCCCCCTATCGTATTTACAACCCCCCCCAAAAAAAAATCCTCCCCCAATGTTATTCTTACAGGTGCATAATTATAAATCACGTTTACCCATTTCTAGATTAACTGGATATCTGAAATTTGGCATCATTGTTGATCTTGCACCCTTTTCGAAAAGTGACATTTTACAAATATAACCCCCCCCCCTGAAATATAGAATCCCCCCTAATGTTATTCCGACAGGTGCATCGGTCTAAATAAATTTTACCCACTTCTAGATTAGCTAAAGATCTGAAATTTGGCTCAATTGCAGGTCTTGCGCCATGGCCCATTTCTATTTACCCCCAACCAAAAAAGGGGGCCTGGGGGCGGAGCCCCCAGCGAGCCAAAGGCGAGTACACTTTATACAGTTGACTATCAGTAGTAGTAATGCAATTGGCTTCAAGGGCCCCAAAACTAAAATAAACGGCCCCACATGATAGACTTACAAGGAATACGATAATAGGCCTAGTTACTTTGCCGAAGTAAACCTATATACGTAATACTATATACGAAAATAAATAAACACTAGTCAACCCGTGTGAAGCATTCGCACTAAATCCTTCTCAAACCCCACTTAATGAAGTACACAATATACAGTTAATACTGTGTAATAAGTGCATCGTTGATATAAGTATGGGTCCTTATTTCATAAATAGATTTGGGTTTACATTTTCGATAATTAATCTTTTAAACTTAACGTTAAGCTATTTACGTTTATACATGTTTTCAGGACGTTTTTGAACACTATGTTTGAAGTATTAATATGGCCATATTTGATTTTTGTGTTTATGGCTTTGTTTTTACACAGACAGGGACGGGTGGTGTCGTCCTGTAATCCAGCTACTGGGAGGTCACGAATTGTGGCTATTTATAGGGATGCACTGTGGATGCGATGCTCCCTGGTGTGGATTAACGTCCGCACTAGTGAGTACTACGACTATCCGCAGTATTATCCTGATAATTAGACCAATTCGTAAATTACAAGGAAAAATGTGGTTCGGATTCCACTATAAACTGTAGGTCCCTTAGTTGCCATTAGCTGTATGGGCTATTAATTAACAGCTGTGTTTAAGGAACATGTCGGCCTTAGTCACTAACAAGACTACAAGATCGCGCCACTCATCCTACACTCATCCTTCACTCATATTTGGGTTAAAATACGCACATAGTGGCGTCCCCATCTTAAATAATTGAATTGAAAAAAAATGAATACCTTTCACTGAAAAAGCGCAAGGGTGCCACAACAACAACAAAGCCACAAACAGCTAAATGTGTAAAAACAAATAGTCTGGCACGTTGTTGTCCTTAATCCTTCCTTCGTTATTGTTTGACTGGAGTCAGCCATCTTCGGTTTGATAGTAGGCCTAAATCAGCTACAACCAATCTTGGACCCTGCTTAGGTTTCTCATCAACATGATAATAGAGTTCTTTTTTGGCATGGATTTATGAGAGAACGTACCTAAACAGATACCCCAATGGATACAACAGAGAGAATTCTTAAATATACATGTAATAGAATGGTTGGTAGGTATTTCAAACGAATGTTATGTAAAAAAATAAAGAACTAAAAAAGCTTAGGAATCCAAGCGATACTTATTTCTAAGTTGTTATTGTTTAGACTTCTCTAAAGTGAAATCTTACTTCTTATTCTTATAATCTTATTTCATCTCCAGGGTTATTTATCATAGAAAGCACAGACTAAGTTTGTTGGTCTTCATTAATTATGTAAAAACATAACACTTGGATCTGAGAAG